CTTAATGGGGATTTTCACACCGGCCATGACACCATGAGATTAGATCAAAGACAGATGAAGTTACATTAACAAAACAATGCAGTCTTGTTATGCAACAACAAACAGCCCATCTGGGCCTTCTCTGGGGTAGGAAAGGCTACAAGTGCACAGCATCAACTGGGCATGCCAGAGCTCCCGTCTTCCTCAACAACTTCTGGAAGACTGGATTTGATTGTGAGAACTTTATTGCAGCTTTGTTCTGGTTGAGAGGAGGTAGCATCCTCTCCTCAAATACATTAAGACAAAGAGGAAATGGGCTGTATGTTCTTCACTGGTTATTGTTGTCTCGGTTTCTGTCCCCCTGGCTGAATGGCAATTACTGACGATTTCCTACCAGGCACTGAGCCCAGGCCCGCTGAGGGTGCCCTGACCCCGCACTATCCAGAGGGGAGAGACAGGAGCTGTCAAAACTTACACCTCTCCCTGCTCCCACTGGGAGTTCTCCTCCAGCTGCTGCCCCACGGGGCTTGTTGCGCACTCCTGCTAATCAGCTCCATCTTCTTCTTTTTTTCTCTTTTTTTTGTGTGGAAGAAATCAGCCTCGAGTGGATGTATGTGCATTTCTCACCTCTGCTACCTATTGCACCTTTGAAGTCCTCTGTAAGTGTTAGTTTATGGCTGGAGAGAGTACGATAAGATCCCAAGGAAAGGTGATAAATTAGCTTTTCGTCCCACATTTAAAAGGGGAAATAGCAGCCTGCTAAAATCCACAGAATCAGTTACAGTTCTGACACCTAACAGCTAAAGCACTCGAGAAGCAAAACATTGCAGCGCCAAATCCGTTAAGCAACTTCATTAAAGCAGATTATTTGCAGGGAGTTTACTTGCTTCCCACAATGAAGCTCTGTATGACAAGCATTTGGTGAAATCTCTCATAGCGCCATTTTTTGGAAAACAGAATTTGATAAATATTGCCGATCCAACAGATTCACTAGGATACACAAGGCAAGCTGGGACAGAGCAGATATTTTGAATCCCCAAAACACGCCCTTCACAGGCATGCCAATTACCAAAAACTGGGGAGTAAAAACGCTTTTAAAAATCTGTAATTCATTTAATAGGATTAGATATGCGTTCAGTTACTTGCTGAACCCATTTATGCGCCAAAATGCAACATAACTAAATCGTGAGTCACACGCAGTTGCTTAAAGTTCAGGATGACAGTGTGAAGCTCGAAATTTGATGAATAGTTCTGTGTTGGTTGTGTTTCTTACCTTGTCTCAACCCGCCCAACAGTTGCACACACTCAGGCAAAAACAAGTAATCCATCTACATGTAGAAGTGTCATGGCGTTACATCACATATTGTAAAATGAAGATGGGAAATGTGTCAGTGACTGTCGCCAATACACGATATCCTGTAACAGCTAATCCATATGTATGTTATTCAATTTATTATTCAAGTTAGCTTGAATCAGAAGAAATATATGGAATTATACAGAATCAGAAAAATATATTGTACAGAAAAGGTGTTCTACTTATAAACACACACACATATATGTGAACATACATATATAATTCAGAAAAAACTGTGCTGACAGTGTAACAACAGGGAGTCATTTTCGCCTCACAGCCTGTCACAATAAGCATTCTTATCTTGAATATCAATTATCACCTCATTTCCTAGAACCACTGAATCTCCTTTACAACACCTGCCTCTATGCTGGAAACACCATCTCTGTGATGTGAGTGAGTATATGATCTGAACCACATAAACTTTATGGCGTAAAAAAGTTTCACCGCAGTTTATAAAACAGACTCGATGGCCTATAACTTCCGCACAGCCACCGTCTGCTGCAGCTCAGTGGAATTTCGCCGCTGCCACCCGCTGACATAATTTGTTTCACAGTCACCACCCAGCAGCATGAATCAGATGTTGACACTCTAATTTCATGCACACATGGGTGTTTGGCTGAGCCAGCCTTGAATGTTGCTGCATTCCCCCCGTCTCTCTCGCTCCAGCTGCCCGCTATACCTGCCCTTTGCCCTGCGACACAGCCATGTAATGTATTTAGCCTGGGAGTCACACACATTATGACTCAGGATTGGACCAAATACTGTTGGACTGATAATGTGTAAGTCAGGAGTATGTCTTGAAAGTTGTAAAATATAATTCCAGTACTTATTATAAGCTAAACATATGAGCTTATCTTCTTTATTTCCCAGGGATTAAACCTTGGGATAAATCCCTAACTGGCCTCAAGCTCTCAAGTTTAAAAGAGACTCAGTCGTAAATGTCTGAAAGTAGAGATTTGTTTTTAATCCACAGCTCCTCTTTTACCCATCAGGAGAGCTTCAAGTTGCCCTGCTTACCAGTAAAATAAACCTGTTTACCATGGTCCACAGCTCCATCTGAAAATATTTGTTTTACTGGTTTTTTTTAAGTAAAAATTGCACATACTTGCAAGGAATAATAAAATAAAGCCACTAGCCATGCTACAAAATGCCAAACGCAAGTCAAGCACTGACATTTTGCTGAGTATAATTAATGCAAATTTTGTCTATCTGTGATTATTTTGCTTCTTCTAAAAGCCACTTCTGGCAGTCTGCAGTGGGAGCGAGGAAGAATTACCTTGTGTTGTACATATATGTCCTCATTCTGTCAGCTCAAACAGGCAGCATAAACTATTTTCAACAGTAGTGACCAGCTGAATAAATGCTATTATATATCCCCCCCCAAAAAAACGGATAAAGGTGAGAGCAAATCCCAATATATTTTCCCCTCAGCAAATATGACATCCTCTCTTATGGCTGAGCATAAATCTACAAGATAAGCACCGTAGAAACAAGTTGTTTGTGTGCATTGGAAGCAGCCAGGATTTTCTACTTGCTTCCTCGTGACAAATATCTAAACAGTAAACACATAGTAAATAACAGCACCCTGTCCATATCAGTTCCCTGCTTGAGGTTAAGTTGAGTTCATTGCAGAGGCCACTGCCTGCATGCATTAAGCAAATCATAAATTATACATGCTAATTACCTTGGGCCTCCACTTTAATGAATTATTTTAATTAAACTACAACATTGGGGTTTTGCATGTGGTCTATATTTCATCCCCTGCCTAAGATGACCTTCTTCTTTGTACAAGTGGAACATAGTTGAGAGAATAAGGACAATGCAGACTTGGTTTATACCGCTGAGTTCATACTGGTGCTGCTGAAGGGAGTGAAACAACAAGACTGGCATTTATTTGCTTTGTGAAGGGAACGCTGGGTTTGTGTTTGCTAGTAAAGGAAAAAATAATCTATTCGTATGGGTTTATGAAAAAATGTGATTTTTTTTTTACAGCGTCATAAGTGTCAGACGTGTCTCTTTACCTCCCACCTGTTACTTTAAAGCAAGGAGATTTAGACGCTCCAATTGGCTCTTGGAAAGGTTAAATCAATTTGCACATTTCTTCAAGCTTGTAGTGTTCATATATTTGCAACTGAGCTGATTGTCTGCCCACCAAATACCTATATACCCCCTCTCCCCCAATACAATTAAATTGAACCATCCAGTGAATCTGAAACAGAGCTGCAGGATGGCAGAGTTTCATGATTTAAATGCACATTAAAATATTGCATTTCTGTTTGTACACTGGTTGTGTTTGCGTTTCACATTTGGGTTGTACTAACAATAAATGACCTCTTATTCACAAAAGTTCCTTACAGCCGTTTATCTGCATTATTATATTACATAAACCTTTTAGCAATGCAGTACAAATAAGACAAATGACACTGAAATTCAAATAATAAAAAAAAATCCACATTTATAAATATATATATATATATAATACATATTGCACTAGTTAAAACAGTACTGTTTTTACCCCCCACTTGTGTAAAACAGGTGTTTTAGGAGTTTTTTTTTCTTTTTATTTAACTTAATTAATAAAAAAACAAGTTCCATTTCTTAATGTGGTTTTAATGCAAGCCTAATTATTATTTTCTGATTAATCTGCTTCTAAATTGTAATCTGGTCTTCCAGTTTAAATACATCTAATCACCCAGAGTCAGAATTAATGTTACACACAGAGATGCACAAAGTTGGGGTGGAGGCGTGGGGGGGGCTAACACTGTTGTACAAACAGTCCGTGGGGGAGGGGTGGATTTAAATTCCAAAAGGGTCTCGCAGCTCGTTTCCTAGTTCCCCAGTCAGCAATGTGTTTGTGAAAAATCAGTCTTTTTGTCTTGCTGAAAAAAGGCTAAATCTACATTGGTGGCCCAGTCTAAGTTTACTATTCTTTGCACTTTCAATACAAGTGAATGAGGGAGAATGAAGTGGCCCGAGCCCCCTTATTTGATCTACTGGATTGTATAAAGTGACGGAATTCTAATGTATTTGCTCAATGCCCCGAAATAGGCTGTTGCTTTTCTATAGAGGATGCAGAAACGTCACGTTATTTTTTCAACACTCTAAAAAAAACAACCCCACACACAAAAGGTAAAAAAAAAGCGTATTTGGCAGCCTACGTAGGTATCTCCCTCCGTCTGTATTTACACAACCTGTTGGATAATGTCCCCTGAAATAGATAAAAAAGCACAAGGTTGAAACGTTCAGATGCTCTTTTTATAGGAACGAGGGGGAAAAAATGAACATGGCGCTTATTTAATTACCCTCTGTGACGTCTTAAGTCGAAATTATGTAACACTTAATTTAGACACTGTTTGCAGCTTTTCTAAATGTTTATTGTCGGGCCTAATCGTGTTTAGCTCAGCTTGATGAATGAGCCTGGTTGTCTGCGCTGTGGCCAGGGCATCGCAGCTCCATGCATCCTAATCGGCTGCACGATTCATTTCTCTGCCACAGCCTCCAATGCCTTTCTCACATTCATAAAATTCGTAAAATCATACAGTTCTGGATAAAGATTA